AAAAACATTCTTTTCAGAGTTATATTCTACTTGGAATTATTTTTTTCATGAGATGAATGATGGAGGTGTCAACAGCTGATGAAGATGAATAGGCCTTTTTCTTATGTATTTGAATTTTTATTTATGTATTTATTTATTTATTTGCAATTGAAAGTGACTTTGAAGGTTAGTTTGACTAAATTTTCGTTCTCATGTTAGACATCCAGGAAAGATATTTCAAAAAACCTATGTATGAGCAGCAGCACTGAAAATGTTTGATATAAGGATGTGCCTGTTGATGCTTGCACATACACAAAATATAAATACACATTTCTTTACATTTGTCATGGTTTTCTTGTGCTGTGAAAAGGATCATTAAAATACACAAGAGTGAAAATTTTGCCAGTCAAAGCCTTTTCCTACTTTCTAGTAGCTAATATTTTCTTTCATTGAGAAATTAAAAAAATGTGGCTAGTTATAGCCACTGTATAGCAGAGCATAGTGCACAGCATTGTTAATACTAGTAATATTTATGCATATGAAAGTAAGAGTATGGCCACAAAATATAAAAGAATAAAAATTCTCAAAAAAAAAAAAGAAAGAAAAAATGGGGAGGTTTTATTCAAGAGAAAGTGAGAAAATAATACTGTTGGGAACATAATACACATGTGCAAGGGATGCACAGTATTGATCACTTGTTGAGAGTTGATTCCCTGTGCTTCTGCTGCGAGCTGGGTTGTGTTTCCTCTTCCACTTTCCAGGAATGGATAAATCAGTGAGAAGAGAACAGCTCTCCTGAGATGCATGCTTTGTGTTGTGAAGATACGATTCTGCTGTGCCAGGCCTGCCTGAGACACCTACTGCTGTGCTTGGCCTCTGTTTTGCTAGAAGGAGCGGAAAGGTTGCTGAAGTGTCCATGCTGATGATGAAGCCTTAAACCTGCAGCATCTTGTCGTTCTTCAGATGCTGCTGTATGTCTGGGTTTTCTTTTTTCTTCCATTTGCAAGTGTTGTGATTGCTTGCTGGGCCTTTGCAGGAGGCCGGTGTGGCAGTGGTCTCTGGCAGCGCTTCTCAGCTTCACTAAATGCTTTTTCCTGCAAGGGTGTCCAGTGGGATGGGACTGAAAGGCAGTATCCTTCCCGCTGAAAGGCAGAGCCATGTCCTGCTGCACATCGGGGCAGCAAAGGGCTGTTGTTATCTTTTGTCAGATCCCTTGAAGCTGTGGAAGCGTGGGTGAAATTTCAGCTCAGGGGAGCCATATCCCTGAGAGAAAGAAGGACTTCTGTTCATTGCTTGTACAGCAGAACTGAATAGATGCTTCTGATGCTACTCTCTGTTTTTGTTTCCTGACATCATTCCAGTTTCCTTACAGTCTAGAATGTCAAGCCTGGTCCCCCTCTGCTCAGCGTGGTAGAGCCAGGAGTTTTGCTGTAGCCCTGTGCCAGCCCCTGCACTGTGTGGTGATGTCTCTTGCCCTTCAAGTTTGCCTTAGCTTGGAAGGCATCATGTTTTTGCTAGACATGAAGACCTTCATCGCAGAATCACAGAATCACAGAATTGTAGGGGTTGGAAAGGACCTCCAGAGATCATCGAGTCCAACCCCCCTGCCAAAGCAGGTTCCCTACACCAGGTTTCCTGATTCCTGAGAAGATGCCTTTGTGAGTGTTGCATTAAGAAGAGTCCACTGCAACCAGCCTTTAAAATGTGCTGTGTGAGGCTTTCTAACCAGGAGCGGAGCTGCATTTATATTTCAGTCTGTATTCTGTTTATCAGCTCTTGTTGTAGGGACTTAGAAGAGACTTTCAGAACCTGCTGTTAATTTGTTTTAAACATGTGTTAGAATTGTGTGGACATGTCAGAGGAGGCTTGGGCAGGCTGAGTTCTGTGAAGCAACAGCATCTGTAGTACAAATACTCTTGCTTCCTTTGTTAAGTGGTCAGGGAGCAGTCCATACATCTGTCTGTGCTCACAGAAGGCTTTCAGGAGCTGAAGGACTCAATCACATTGAAACAAAACTGCTGCCTCTTCGCTGTTGTAAACTAATAATTGGCACAGATAACAGTGGTGATGCATATTTGTAGCCACTTCTTGGCCTTGAAGAATGCTTTGGAGGTTGTGCTTTGCTTTCAGTGCGATCATGTGAAAACACATTGAATGCAGGCTGATATTTTTTTCTTTAGACATAGTGATAGTTGACTCTTCATGTTCCATGTTTTTATGTTTAAATGCTCAGAGCTCAGATTGGCTTTCAAGAGGGATACAATAGTTTTAAAGGCAAATTTGCATTTCTTTAATGGGCATGAAGTAGCAATATATCAGAACATCTGTATTGATCCTTGGCAGACTATTTAAATTATTTCCTTACTATTTAATATAAGATAAAAAAAAGTGCTATAGAAAAACATCATTGTTTGCTGATTCTGTTTATACATCATCATCTATTCAGCATAATAAATTAGACTATTTCAAACAGGAACTTCAGATTTTCCTGTTTGTGTGTCTAGGGTGTAAAATCAATAGTTAAAATGGTTTGAAGTGAAGCTTTGTGGATAGCAACTTTAAAATGCATTTCTCTTCTTCACCTTCTGTAGCAATTGGTCAGATCAGTACCATGGGATAGGCGTTACAACAAAGGCGTAATGGTGAAAGGGTTGGCACAATAGAAAGGTGCTATAAAGGAAGGGAAGGAGATGGCTCACTCATATCAGAATTGCCTTTACCTGTGCTTCCTGGGCTGACTGGCCCCTTTCCCCAGTTACTCAATTAGTGGTTCAGGCCGTGTCTCAGCAGTTACCACACATGTTGGTAAAGACATGTTTGCAAGGTCAGCTGCAGTTTATGTTCTTACGGAAAACGAGAACTGCTGTATGAATTATTAGCATGCAATGTGGCTGTAAACAAGAATTTTCCTGCCTCTCACCTGTCACCTTCAAGAGTGAGCTGAGGCCCTGGCTGATCTTCTGTCTGCATGGTAGCTGAGATCCCTGTCCTAAGAAGAAAACTGTAGGTCACGGATTGAAGTGAGATAGTCCATGGGTGAAGTCTTAAACGATGACAGGTGCCTTTCAGCTGGAGAACTTGAAAGGTTCTGAGATCAAGCTCCAATGATATTCACAGGTCATTCCCTTGGAGGAGGGTGGGAAGGCAGTCCCAGAGTTGAGAACTGTGGGATGAGTGCCCGTTTTCCTACTGATTATATGAAGTGAGAAAGAAAATCTGTTTGTTTTCAAAGAAGTGCAGTAAGAAAAGGGGCAGGAAATAGGATCTTTCCATGTCCTTTGAAGGCCATGTGACCTGGACTTCCTCAATATCTTGTCTTCCCTGTCATTATCCTTGGCTTCTGGAAGCGGTGCTAATTTTTGGAGAAGTGTTTCCTTTTTACTTTGTGTGGAGTTAGTTTATTGGTGATTCTCTGCTCTGAAAAGACTGCTGTGAGAGCTGTGAATATTCAAAATAGTTGCATGGTTCTCTAAATCTTCCTCAAGACTGAGATTGATCAACATCTCTTGTTGCAAAGGGGATGTAGAATGATCTAGTCAGGTTGAATGGGGGCTGCTGATGATCTTGTTCTGCCATACTGTTTGACAGTGTTTTCTGGATACTCTGTTTTCCCATGTGATCACTGTTAGCATTGCATCTAGAAACAAGGTCCATCAGAGGGTGGTGAAATTTGACTAAATGCAGGTCTGCTCATCACAGGCATGAGTTGCTGCATCTTGTTTGCAGGAAATTGATTCTCACCTGTGTGCTTGGAATGGTCCTGTAAGACAGAGACCCATTGGTATCTACAGTGCCTTGTGCTGTAGCGTTTCTTTCTCAAGTCTAATTTTGCTCTACTGTAGGGCCACCAGGCAGCTGGAGTAACTAAAGTGCAGTATGTTCTTACTAGGCTGATTTTCAAAAAAAATTTTTTTTAACAAATTCTAAGATGCCTTTGGTTTTTGCAAGGTATCTGTATCTTATCTATTAATAATAGATTAATAGTTCTGCTTGTCTGTCAGGGCAGTTCATCAAAGCTTATATGTGTGTTCCAACTTTAATTGTATTTAGAGAGAGAGAATATTTAAGTGTTAAGAGCATGCTTCTCCCCTATACTCAAAATAAATTGTCAGTTTCCTTCAAAAAAAAAACAAAAAAACAACCAAACAAAAAACAAACAACAACAAAAAAACACTTTGCTGGGGCTATTTTGTTTCAGCATCTGTGCTTAAAATGCTCTCGAAGCCAGAGAGAGGTATGTTATACTATAGGAAACCCAATGTGAATGTGAAGAAATTGATTGATTTATGTTCCCAGCGGCCTGGGACTCAGTCACTGTTGATCTGCTTATTAGTAGAATTTTGTTTTGGAACTCCTGATTGATAATCACCATAGATGAAAGATTTCAGGTGATGGATCTCGTGTGGATTGGTACCCATCTGGTAGAAGCTTAATGTGGGTGATAGTGCACTGAGTTTTTATGGAACATTAACTTAATATGCACATAAGACATGACCTGAGGTATAGCAGAATTTTTCAGTGTTTAAGAAATTAAAATCCTTACTTGAACACCTTTGTATTTTTGGATGGAATACCTAAGTTTCCCTGTTTCTTTGGGAAGAATATTGTCTATGGAACAATTAGGGGAGACTGAGGGTGAAGTATTTTGGACAATAATACTGTGTGTTTAAACACTGGGTGTTTAAAAAGAAAAAAAAACAGTAGAAGAAAACAAGAAGACAAGTGTAGCTGAGCAGATAACTTGAATTCTCATTACAGTGTCATTTCATTGAAACAAAACCATTGAATCAAATCTCAGCAACTCTGAACAGCTTATTTTTCTTGTCCTGGTGTTACCAGTGTAATTGCATTACCTTAGCCTCATTCACCTTCTTGTAGCATGGATTTCCTCTCTTAAAATCTACTGCTTTCTTTCTGGCTGTTTCACATCTGATTATACACTCTGCTCAAATTATACTTCTAAATACTGTTGCTAAGTCTTATTTTGAACTGGTTGTTATGTCCTTAATTTTTGTTAGGACATGTGGGCTGATGTAATGATATGATTATCAAGCAGTGAATTAATTCTAGCTGTAAATATACAGTGGTAGACAGCTGGGTTTAATTCTACTAAGGTTTTTTGAAATATGAACATAATCCTTTCTGAATAGGTGAGCTGTTAATAGTCCATGGCTAGTGTAGTATGAGAATAATTTTCTTTAGAAGAATGTAGCTGATTTTATTCATACAGAAGATGAATAGTTTCAAAATACAGAGGAAAAAACAAACAGGGTCTGAGGACAAATTTATTCTATCCTGATTCCCTGGTGGAAATTGCTGTGCAACTAGAAGAGACTGTCACTCAGTTTCCATTCCTGTTTGTAAAGGATCTCCAAATGTACAGGTGAAAGTTTTTTTGATAATTCCTTTGTATGCACTTTTTAAGCCTTTCTCCTCTAATGATACATTCTGTTCCTTTTTGTAAGGTTCATGATGTGGGAAGAAGAGTGTTCTGTGAAAGCAGTTACCTGCTAAATTTTATCTTCTATAAGAAATTCAGCACATCTACAACAAAATCAAGCATCTTTTTTCAGGAAATGTATGGAAACACATTTGAGGAATGTTCTACTTGCCTAGGAGTTTGCTGCATGTTTTCTGCCTCTCACAATGTGCCTTTGTCAGAAAGGAATTACTCAGTGTTTAACACATTGGGGGGGGGGGGGGGGGGGTGTGCGGCACTTAATTGTGCATTTGTGAATACTAACAGTAGAGTTAGTCAAACAGCCTGAGTGCAATAATAAGGCAGTGGGGCTGAATATATACAATAGCCAGAGCCTCAAGGTGTAATATGGATGTCTATTGGAAAATGCCTGCAGGGAGCAGCTGTTGTATCTCTTGCAACTTGCTGTCAAGTAAGCTTTATAAAAATAAAAAAGAGCGACCAACCAAGCTACAGTTCTCTTATTGTGCTTGTGTGCCATCCAAAATTGACACGTCTGGATATTTAGTAAATGTGAAATACCCATGGAGTGGTGATTGCAGTTAGGCAGTAGTGTTTGACATACGGAGCAGAGGCTGCTTGAGTAAAATTATTTAAAATGGCCCTGGTATAATTCCAGCACTTTCCTTCACTGAGATAACTGCTTTCAAGTCTTAAGAGCAATAACACAGAATCTGAACCTGATAACAAGCACAATGTGAATTTTCATAGCGTTCAGCTTTTCAGGAGGTCTTTCAAATAAGTATTAACAAGTTTGGATACATCTTTTAATAATTTGAGCTTGTCATAATCTCAGCACTAAACAACCATAGTGTCAGTATGTCTGAATTGGCTGTTTTGTGAGATATGAATGTGTGCCATGTTGCAGATGTTCAGATTCAGCTTTGTGCTTCAAGGAAGCAGAACTTACTAAAACTTTCTTTGTTGGTTTCACTTGAATTTGAATGCCTTACCTGGCAGGAGGGGAAAGCAATTTTGCTGAAGACACAAAGCCTTTTAGTCTCCTGTATAGGCTTTTATCTGGAGTCTGAATTCAGTCTAGAAGGACCGTCTTGGTCAGGCTGGCTGGTCAGATGCCCGTTCAGTTTTGAGAAGTCTTGTTCGGGATGAACTTGTAAGCCTGGCTGCTGGCTGCAAACCGTTTTCCTTATGCTTCCCGAGCACCAGACTTAACTATATCAAGGCTGTTAAAGAGGCTTGTGTCTGCTGTGACATCAGTTATGAGGTACAGACTACTTTCAAATACATGCTCTGCATGTTACAGACTTACTTTGTTCTTTGGAAGCAAAAATCTGAGCCTCTGGATAGTGGATTTTTTTTAATCTATGTGTGGCTACATTTCTTAAAGCAGGAGTTGATCACAGTATGAAAAGGCCAGATATCATATGCCTGTATTCTTTCTTTGGAGCACTAGACTGTGTAGTGTTTTTTGGCGTAGTTGCTGCAGGTGGGATAGGTTTCTCAACATCTAGCTGAAACACAGCTGACAGCTGTGTGTCAGTGTACGCTACAGTACTGCTCCTGTATTAAAATGAAATTCTGCGCCAAAAAGTGTTTATCAGGAAAACCTAATATTGCTGTGATACTTTGGCTCTGAATGTATCATAATCAAGAGTAGCTATTTGTGTTTTGTTGTCTCCATGTAATGTAACCTTATTTGTCTTCAACTGAATCTGAATTTCATCCTGTTGTGTTCAGTAAATGGTAAATTTCAGAAACTGCATTTAATTCCCATGTGTTCCATGTCTGAAAATTGCCTGGGAACTTCCAAGTGGACAAAACCAGGAAAAGCATTTGTAGCACAGCTTCTCCCCAGTTTCTCGTGCTTTCTTTTCCTCTCAAACCTGGTTCCCAAGAGCCTCCCATGCAGGACTTCAGTCACGGTCATGTTGCATTGGGTTACGATTACTTCCCTGAAGCTGGTTACTTCTGTCTCAGCAGCCAGGACCTAGTCTCCAGCTGCATGTCTTCTTTCTTTCCATGCAAGCGATAAAGAGAAGTTTCTGTGCCTGTATTCTATAAATCATATCAAACAAATTTTAGTTGATAGAGGCAATTAATAACACAGAGGTGGTTTCACAAGAGAGTGGTAGTTGGGTGCTGCTGTTGAAGTGATAGTGGGTTGATATTTAAACAGCCTCAAAACAGCTTTCAAAAATGCTTTTCTGAGACTGCCAATTTGGACAGTGGAAAAGTGATTTGTAAGCCTAGACAGTGCTGTATTGCTCTGAACTGTAGTCTCATTTTAAAGCTTCCTCCAAAACCATGCGTGCTTTAGTGAAAGCTGTGAAAAAGGAAGACAGCTTAACTGGAAATAACAAATTGTGTAATCAGAACTACATATCATAGGATACCCAAGTGGAGGCTTTACTGTGTGAGAGAGTCCTGATCTGTCTGGTAGACTGCAGTGCTGCTGTGCAGGGAGCTGAATGCCTTCGTTTTTGTGTGTAAAGCCTTAACCTTATGCAAGAGAGAAGATGTGAAGTATGGCTGGTTGTCTTGAAGACTGAGCCTGCTTTAAGAGAATGCATGAATATTTGCCAGTAACATTTAAAAGCTTGATGGGATTGTGTCATTGTCAAATGTGTGGAGTTCAGCATGAGCAGTCCTTGCTGTCCATCTGAAAGTGAATAGTTTAAATTACTGCAGACCCTTTGAGTATTTGTTTAATAGGTTCCTTCTAAGTCTCAAAATTATGTTTCTTAGAAACTGGTAGACAAATGCGTGGTGATTTTGCCAGCTGTTGTCAGTCATTTCCTTTTGAGTGCAACAGATTTGTAAATTTGCATTTTGAGTACCTTAGCACTTGGAAGTATTTGTGAAATACTTGCGCTCATGAATGATAAATGATGGAAAAGGTTGCTTAAATATTCTATGTGACCCCCAAGTCCTGTCTGATTTAGGAAATTACTGTAGACAAGTGCTTTGAGTTCATCAGTCACTTCAGTGTTTGTCCAGAACATGAATGAATCTTAACATGCTGAAGGAGCAGATTCAGAAACAGCTATATTGGTGTTTTGGAGCTGTGTTTGTGTCTACAAACACTTTCAATGAGCTTCAGATTTGATTTGAAAACAAAGCAGCTCAACCTCCACCCACCCTACATATCTGAAATAACAAGTGCAAAGTAAATTCTAAACGTAGGGAATTTAAAATGCTTTGCAGGGCACGTAATAGTTCTCTGTGCAATTTACTTTCAACAAAAATGAACCTTCACTCTGTATCTCCCAGGGTGATAGTGGTGACTTTGAGTCCTTCTTTTCTGTGGACAGTGTGGATGAAGCAGTCAAGTATTTACTCAATTCTTTTTTTTGTTCTGCTTTTGCTAATTTAGCCAAGTATTAAGACATCAAAAGTACTCTCAAAACAAGAGGCCTAGAATGTTGTATAGAAATGATGAGAGGAACAGAATTTGAAGGATGAGGCTTTGTATTTACGCTAATTTGAAGTCAGTGTGAATGAATGCTAGCTTTTTAAACAGAATAATTTAGACAGATTCTTTTTTTTCCCCAATGACAGTGAAAAATGTGTTTTTCAGTAATTTCACTAGTCTGGGAATGGTTTGCAATTTGTTGATAGCACAGTGCCACCTAGCGACTACTCAGATAAATCTGTGAAGAGATTGCCTTGGTCAGATGGTTCACAGTTGCAAAGAGGTTGTTTTGTGGAAGATTGTGTTCCTTCATGTCTTCCTTCATGTCTTGAGATCAGACTATGGGAAATAATTCTCTTAGTGCAGGAGTGCAGCAGGATGTGCTATAAAGTGTATGAGAGGAGGATGGCTTCATACACAACCAGCTGCAACTTTGGCACTTGCAAAATTCTTGGTTTGTGCAACTGTAAGATCTTTTAAATCACTTTTTGTTTCCCAATTCTGTAATAACTTTTATGCAAAGGAAAATAGTCTTCTTTAAATTTCTTTTTGGTGATTTTTTTTAACCCCTTTTACTCCCTCAGTTAATGTAAATAATCACCATTTTCTTTCTTCCCCTGCATTTCTTTGCAGCTTGATCACATATTGTCCCCACCACCTATGCCTTTTCGAAAATCCAGCAATCCAGAGGTCTTATCTGGCCCCGGAAAGTCTTTCAAATATAAGAGGCAGCTGAGTGAAGATGGGAGACAGCTCAGAAGAGGAAGCCTTGGAGGAGCTCTGACTGGTGAGTTTGGGGTGTGGGCTGTGCCACCTGGAGGTGTGGCAGATGTAGTGCTGATGGCACCTTGATCTGGCCTTGCGGCCAGACTCTGGAGGAGCTGTATCCCCACCTGAAGCTTCTATAAAGTCTCTTCTATGTTTGGTCCCTCATAATCGGTGAGGTGAGCTTATTCTTGAGACTCTCTCTTTGTGGAGTGCTGACAGTGCAGCCTGAAAGTACTCTGTTTCTTGAAATTTCCATGAAAATTTGGCAGACTGGCAGTTTAAGGGTTATTTGAGATACGCTTGCATGAATTCATCCATAGGATTTGCATATGTCTTGTTTCCTCGAAGAGCTGAAGTACACAGATGGTCCCTTTAGACTGATTCATTAAAGAAAAAGCAGTTTGGTCTCATTTATCTGGTGGATCCTTCCCTCCCATAAACAGCTTGGCCCTTGGCGTGGACCATGGCTTCTGTTCTGCAAAGCCATCCATGGTAGCAGGTAGGCAGGGCCCCCTTGCCCTGATGTCCCTGTGTGCTGCAGTGGAAGATGTACAGTGCAGAAGTTGTGACTGTGACCTGAGAGTGTATGGCTGTGATGCTCACTGAAGAGTGCTTGTTATTGAATGTGTGAGTGAAATGAACATGAAAACATGGGGACAAATTGCATATTCTAGATAAAAGAATTTTTAACTCACTGGAACCTAGCAATTAAATACATTCCTAAAATGCAAAGTGAGAGGGACAGTATGTGTTGGTGAATTTTCTGAAATTGATAAAGTTGTGGCACAGTATCTTGTTTTGTCCAAGTTTCATCTGGTAGCAGATGAATTTCAAAGGAGGGAAAGCTGAATTGGCATGTATGTGAGATGAGATTGTCTCCTGTCTCTGAATTGTATACAGAGTTGAAAGGCAGTTTTACTTGGGAATGAAAAATGGCAGATATAGCTAACCTTCCTCAGTGAACTTTTGTGAAGTACTTTTAAAATATTTGCTTTTCTAACTGACTTCTCACCCCTCTCCTTGTCATTATGTTGGAGAAAGCCCCAGTAGCTAATACAGTACTTTTTTAATGTAGTTTGTAGTTTAATGTCGTCTACAAAGCTGCGAAGTAGTGACAAGTGTTTTAAGAAGATTGCTTCATCATGAGTTGTTTTATGAGGATTTTTTTACAGCAGTCTAGTAGTATTTCTGATCCACATGGTCTTTAGTAAGACGAGTGACTTGCAGCACTGTGACATGTTTGATTTTTGTTGACTGTATCAGTGAAGTCTCTAGTGTCTCTGTTACTTTTTAAAAAACTTGATGTGAGGACCACGGTGGTGTTTTCCTGACAATGGAAATTGCCAGCACATTACTTATTATTTTAGCAGGAGTTGGTGTGGGTTTTTCATTTTGTTTTTGTTCAACTTTAAATTAGGCTAGCGGATTCAAAAATTGAAATTTCCTGCATAAACCCTCCAGCTAATGAGGAGAAGGCAGCCTAATCAAAAACAAATGAAGCAAGTGTGCTCTGCAGCTACACTCCACAGTCTTTATCTCTGTGCCTGAATTATTGCTTGAGGTTTTTATGAAAGGAAACGGATATACTTTTTGTCTGCTTGCAATATGTTGTGTGGAGTTTTATATCAGGATTTGGGAATATGGTGTGCAGTGATGTTAAACTGCTTTATTACTAATGCACTTTCAGTGAACCTGAATACCCTAGGGCTTTAGATTCATAAAATACTTGAAATATCTTAACAGCTTTACAATACTGATTAAACTAATCAAAGTCATTCTGATGACAAAAAGTCCTTATCAGGATACAAAACAAACAAACAAAAAAACCTGGTGCTGCAGATACAGAGAACCACTTCCTCAAATTGTTTAAAAATGCTCAGAAAACTGAAGTTAATTGTTTTAATGTTACCTTGGATTTGTATTTGTCCACCTCTTCTGGCATAATTAAATTTCTGAATTATTTGTAGTTTCTTCCATGCTGAACTGTCGACAGGTGGTTTGAAACCACAAGTGTCACAACATGACTTAAAAAAAAATTAAAAAATGAGGTGGTGGTGTCAAATTATAGAATATCATGGGGTGGGAGGGACTCACAAGCCCTGACATTGAAGTGAGTAATTTTACTGACTTGTCCTTGCCCTTGGCTTGGGTTAATTTCTTCTCTCATGCATTTCTTCCTTAATTTCTCTGAGTTTCCACTTGTAAAAAGATGCAGATTGTCCAATAAGGAAAAAGTCTAACAGTGAATCCTGTAAAATGGTTTGGAGTGGTATTTTTTGAATACTGTAATGTATAGTCTCTGCTTGTATCATTCAAAAATGTTAGCTTTACTAAACTTCAAGAAATACAGAATGTAGGAGTAAGTAAAGCAAGAGAAGATTCCTAGTTAAAAACTTTGCAGGATGTGCTTATGCTGATGCTTGTTGTTCACTCCAAGTGTTAGGAAAGCTGTTAATTGTGTTTTCTTATTTTGTCTTTCCCTTCTCCATTAACAATACAGAATTAATGTGCCATAAAGTGTTAGTAGTATTAATTTTTTATTTATGTTTTTATTGTTAATTTATACGAACCAGGATATTTCAAGTCCTGCAGGGCTGAATACTAATAGATATAAATAGAGGTGTTTTTCACCTCTGGGAATAGATACCAAATAAATGAGTTTATTGGGCTTTACAAGGAGGAATAATGCTATGTGCGACATACGAGAAGAAATAAAATTTGCATTGTTGTAATATATTGGATGAAATTTACAAAACTTGAAGGATTTCAGTTAATGAGAGTCTATTGCTCTGAATAGGCTCAGGTAATTTAGCCTACTTATTTAAAGTAATGGGGCAGTGAGAAAAACTGAGAATAGTGTACAAGATGATCTTTCAAATGGGATATCAACACAAAGGATACAAAATCGGTATATTTGGAGGAGAGCTAGGATGGAGACTGAGCTTACATTTAGCATTGTTTTGGGGAAGCTTGCACCCAGCATTTTTTTTTTTTTTTCCTGAACTGCACTGTTTTAAGCAATCTTTACTTAATCTGCATCCCCAAGGAAGGGAAGGAGGATTGAAAAGAGAGGCAGAATTTGGAATAAAAAGAGTTTACTGGATGTTGCCTGATACTAGCCTAGCAAATGTACTTTGATTGCTCTTGTTGTGAAGTACCAGATGTACTGCTTAATAGAAAGAAAGGAATGGCAAACAGTATTTTGCAGTTGAAGTTGCTAAGCAGAAGCACTCATAAGTTCAGCAACTTCAGAGCAAAATTATTTTCTACTGGCTAACTTGGAAGCAATTTGTGACCAGCTCCTTTTCTGTTTTAAAATACCAAATGTTTCCAAATTGTTATAAAGTTTGGGGAGCAGAATTGCCTATGCATTCTCTGGACTCCTGGTTTGTTGCAGTACACCTGCACACAGTTACTGGGGGACTTGCTGTGCATTCAGTGTTTGCCTTCCTTCCTCTCTGCTGTTTCTGCATACTGGCCCCTGCCCCATTCCCTTTCTACCTTCCCTTCATGCATATTTTTCTGTAAGGTGTTGGCTGCATTCTTTACCTGGAAGTAAATTGGAGCTTGGAGTTCTGCTTATGCCAAAAGATTGTATAAAATATGATCCTTGTACAGTCTATGCAGCTGCTTGTGTAATAGTTCTTTCTCAAAGATAGAGGAAAGAGGTCTGTGATTCTGAACAGTGCTGCTGCCCTTTGTGTGCCATGGTGATGATGACGCAGGCAAAGCCTGGTCAGATGGGGTCAGCTCTGCTCTTCTCAAGGCAGTTGACTCCTGTGTGAATGTAAATACCTCTCCCCCTTGCTTTTTAGTTGTCTTCTTAAGGATTCCAAGCAATGTACAGTCTTGCACTTTAAAACTTGTTTCTGATCAGGAGAAAAGATGTTTAATTAAAAAGCTGCTTTTCTGCAGTGGCTGGTTTTCTTGATCTCTGCAAACATCAAAGGGCTGTCTACATGCAGAGGGGTTTTGGCTTAAATTGTCTGCAGATTTTAGTTTGCTGTGTTCAGAGAAGCTTAAATAGAATTCAGAAAGTAATGTGGAAGGCTGAGAAATTAGATGAGCTTTTACTATGGAGGAAGTTAACCTGGGAAATCACTCAGACAAGCAAATTGAATTGGCCTTGCTTTCATATTCCATTGCCGCTCAACTTGCACTGCAGTGTGTGGTGCATCTCTGTTCAGTTTCCTCAACTGCTTTGATATTACGTTTGCAGATTGCTATCTTTCTTTCTACTTCTGCATTGCATGAATCCACATCACTGGCAAGAGCTTGCATTTTGCGGAATGCTGCAGCTAATCCAGTTGTGTCCTATGCTTCACAGTTAGATGTATAAAAAGAAAGCAACCAACCACTAAACTTTGTTACTTAGATTTTGAACCTTTTATCTCGCCTCCTGTTATCTCATCAATAATTGCCTGGAAACAGACTTGCTGCTGGGCTAATTGTCTCTAATTGTGGTAAAGCTGTTATCTTGCTAACCATAAATTGATCTTACACAAATACTAGTGAGATAATGCATACAATTTTCATTTTACATTGTCTTTAATCTGAACATCCTGCAGCACTTTTCATTAATGAACTTAAGTCATTATCTAGTGATGAACTAAAGACTAAGAAATTTTGGAATGCATGTATTTTTCTTTGTTCAATGTTTCTGCTTTGATCAGCTTCCCACATCTAAGCCATCACTCATCTAAATGTTGCCAGCAATGATTGCTATTCCCATATAACTAATCTGTGATTGATTTGAAATCAATCTGGGTAGTCTCAGTCTGATTTTTTTGCATTAGAGTTTCATCACTCGCACTAATTAGCAGAAAGATTAGTGTTATGGGCCATGAAGAACAAGCTGTTCTTTGTTATCTAGGGTTTGGCATCTGCTGGCAGGACTTGCAGGCTGTCCTGCTGCACGTAGGGGGAGCAGCTGACAGTGGCGGGAATTTGGAGTTCTGGTCTTATGTTGTGGAGCATTTCTTATGAATATTGCTGATAATGCAGATTAGCTCATTAAAC